CGCCAACCGTGGTTCGACCTTGCGGTCGACGAGCGCGATCCGAGACGACAATAGGGACGAGGGTATTCGATATGAAGTCGGCGGGAGGTCGAGTTCGCCTTCACGTTCGCGAGCCAATAACGCGGAGGACTATTTCTTCTTCGGCCCTCGTCGCATTGCATCGGAGGCGCTGGCCAACAGTGGGTCAAGCGCAGCCTTACCGTCCGCGAATATGAATGCTCCCGAAGGTATGGTAACTGCATGTACATGGTCTGTTTGGAAGCTCGTTGTAACATACCCTAACTAGTTGGCGTGTCTTGCTGGCTACCGTACCCAGGGGGACGGGACAGGGCTCAGTGTTCCACTGATCCACGCAGTTCCACACGTGGTCCACCCAGCCCTACGGTTGCAGGTAGGGCGGCTATTGTCAAGTTATGGATTTGTAGTGTGGGACCTAAGCTTGCGACATGCATGTATGCTGTTTTGGCAGAACAAGCAGGGAGCCGTAATTTTGAAGCCGCCTTGCTGTTGATGGACCTGTTAGATCGTTTGCTTGGACCTCGTTCTCCTAAGCGTGGGCGGTTTGATAATGGAGCCATGTGAGGATTCCTATGGTGGCCATTTCGCCCATGGTGTGGTCTCTGCGTGTGTGGCGACTACGTGTGTTTTAGCTTATGCATGTTGTGTTTAGCGATATGTGGAGCAGCCCACTCGTCGGATTGTGTGTGAATTTTCTAATGCGAGATGTACGGGACGCGATAACCATTTGAACATGGAGGTATTATGACAATTTTGTTCATACTGAACCCGTTTTTACACTGTACGCGAGCACATAGTGCCGAGGATACACCTGGCACTGGGTTTAGGAAATTTTGCAAGCGACACACAAACTTAGACAGGTTCGTTTTGGACACTCCAACACCTCTTGTTGTGGTAGGTGTGGTGGTCCTTCGCCTTAGGGTTTCGCTATGGAACGCGACATACAGGTGTATCTTAGGCGCTGTCATTCGGAGTTAGAACCTAATTAGTGTCGTGGGCCGCTTTCGGTTGCCAGCGTAAGTAGTCCGTAGGGTTGAACGTGTAGGGCAGAAGGGAGATGCGACGATGGTAGAGGATATCGTAGTGCGTTACGCGGCAGTAGCGGAAATAGGGAGTATCATGGAAGTTTGACGGCTGCATGTACACGAGGGCGATGATATAGCTTCGGAGCACGTCACATGCGCGGGCGGTCTTAGGGATCCTAGTAGGGAGGAACGCAAGATACAAGAGTCATTGTAGGCAATAAGTGCGGGGCGTGTGGCCAGGAGTGCGAGTCCGACAACACTCTCCGGAGCCACCTTGCCCGGCGCGACGACTGTCGCAACAAGTTGCTTGAGTCGTTAGAGCTACGATATGCTGAAGCGTTGGCGGAGGCGGTGGTTGCTCTGGGGCAGGACCCTTACCAGAACAGTGGGGACAATGGTACAGGTACTGCGGAGAGAGCGGACGCACTGTTCAGGTTTATCAGGGAGTCCCCCAAAAATCTGAACCGCAAACGGGAATACCTTACAGAGTATGAAGATGGGGGCGTGTCCAGCGTGGGGGCGCTGTTCGACACGCTCACGGAGATGTACCTGTTTTTCGTGGACGCAGATCTGTCAGATAGGGAGATTAATCGTGTGGTGCACATTTTCGGCAATCCCGAGTTCGACCTCCAGGCCATACGTAGATGGCGGTATTACAGGGACGTTAGGCGCTTTGGGGAGGAGAGGGCGCCGGGGGACATGGTGCCTTGGCTGAAGGCAGAGATAGAGGTGCGGGGTCCTGGAGGGAGGTCGCAGATGTTGGAAATGCTATACAAGGACACTCGGCTGGTGAGCACACGTGGCAGGTGTCGTGTCGCATTTAAGGAGTACGATGGTACAGCGGACGCGCTCTGATTGGGCATCGCGTGAATGTTATGCAGCTAACTCAGAAGATGGTGAAGACGTTCATCAATGTCAGGGGGTTTGTGAAGCGGCCACGCAGGGATCCCGAGGACACTCCAACTTCGCGACATTTCTCAACTCCAGACACTGGGACGTGGTTGGAAGATGCGCAGGCAAGTGCATGTCTATAATGGTATGAAGCAGAGTGCTTGGTTGGGGGTGTGGGCATGGACGCTGAACATTGTGTGACGTTAACGCAGAGTGATTTGCCGGAGAAGGACTCCATGGTGCTGGGCGTCATGACGTACAGTGACAGCACGTATGCATTTGGGAACAGCCGTCTACAAGCGTGGCCGATGCTCATGGCTTTGGTGAACGTACCGGAGGAGCTTTGGTGGAGCGAGCCGGGACATGCACTTTGTGGTGTGCTTCCTTTTCCACCGGAGTGGGCGTCGTCGACAGAGAAGGCGAGGGTGTATCAAAAGGCGTATCGTATCGTCATGGGCCCACTCATGCGAGAGAGCAGAGAGTGACTGGACATTGGGGTAGTGTATGGGTGCAATGTGGCGTTGACTCGGACATCGAGAGTTATCAACCTGTTGGTTTTATGGTGTTGTGTGCACAGGTCGCCGCTGCGGTCCTTTTTCGTGTCGGACAGGCAGGGTGGGGTGGTCAAGGGATACCCGTGCTTATATGCGTTCATGGGGGACTATCCTGAAGGATGCCGCGCCACAGCGACCATGCAGCAGGCCTCTCACAGGCCCTGTAACAGCTGTTACACGAAGAGGAGTTGCTTGAGTGACCTGACGTTCAAGTACATAAAGCGGATAGTCCTCAGAGAACGGCACGCGATGGCGGAGATACTCAGCGCGCCAACGGTGGAAGAGGCCACAACACAGCAGTCGCGGTGGTCGACTCATCCGATTACGGTAGGTGCTATTATGTCACACGATGTGACATTGGATTCACAACACGATGGCGACTTGGACGCCGACGAGCTTTAAAGACTGACACGTTGAACAATGTGCAATGTGCAGTGTGTGGTGGAGAGATGGAACTTCTTCGAGACGGAGTGGGGCAATGTTTTCCTGGCTCTTGTTGGAGACATATTGCATGTGCTGGATTCTGGTGTCCTGGTGCACATGACCATGTGTTTCTTGGAGGGGAAGAGCCGCTCAGAGATCCGAGTTTTTGAGAGGTGAGTTTTGCCAGAACACGTGCACCAGGAAGATGAGTGTGCACAGGAGGGTATGTGTAGCCTCACACGTTACGCGGTCTTACGGATTGGCGGTGTTCTTGGATGCAGCCGCAAAGGAGGAGTGAGGGGGGAGACACGCAGCACTGTCGTGCGCATTCCAGGCGGTTCCATGTTTTTCCGCAGCGGGGCAAATTACGCCGCATTCGAGTACCGCGGGATGATGCAGATCTTCCCCATTGTCATCGCTGATCACTGTGTGGGGCGCCCAGCAGCTGAACGAGTTAAGAGAAAAGCGGAGGTGCGCGCGTTCTGTCATTACGCCATTTTCTACAAGTCGTTGCTGGCTGTCACCAAGCACACACGTGCCACAATCGCCATCGCCATGCAGCATGCTATCCCGTAAGCTGTGTGGCCTTTCCGGCATGATGGTGGTGGTAAATCCCGCGGTGGAGATACCGTGAACGGGAGCTCATGGTGGTGTATTGTCTGATGTATAGGATGGTAGCAGCGCTGCAGGTGGCGTTCCCAGACCAAAGGTCAGAGTGGAACGTGGTGAAGCTGCACGAAGTCGTGCACATCATCGACGGTATAGCCATGAGGGGATTACCGAACGAGTACTCCACGTAACTTTGGGAGCATACACACAAGGGCACGGTCAAGGGGCCGGTGAGAGGTGGCAACTGGAAAGACATCCCGAGGAGGATTGTGGAAGAGGAGAAGCAGAGGGAGATAACAAGGGAGATTGCAGCGGCATCAGGAGGAGGGAGAACGTACGTCACCGCTCTGCGAGAGGTATGGCCACCACGATTCCATCAGGATGGGCAGTCGCATGTGGTGTCTTCCATGTAGCTGATGCGGCCAGGCGGCTCGATGTTGGATAGATGGCACTTACCCTAAACCTTCATTATATGCAGGCTCAGAGGCATCTGAAGCCAGTGCTTACACGGACAAGCAAGGCCATGTACGTCGACGAGGCCGACGATCCTTTGAAGAAACTGTACCGAGACACCCTAGGGAGCGATTTCGACGCCATGCGCACTCTCATGAGCGCCAACGGCCTGCAAACGCAGCGAGTGCTGGTGAGTCTATTCCGGGGAGTGACTTGTCGTTAATGTGGCGGTGCACACGGTTGGAGAGTACCTTCCATTGGTGTGTCATGATTGTTTGTTGCACACTTGCGTGATCTGTGGCTATTTGGTGTATCCGTACTACCGTACACTACACGTGCATACCGCGGTGGCCATCCCTCGGACAAAAGGGGGGTACCTGGTACCCAAGGGGACTTTTGTGAAGGCAAGCCCGAAGGAGAACTGGTTTAGTGACATCGCAATGCAGGGAGAGAAAGAGGATGAGGAGTGGTACGCGCGGTGTCTCTGTATTTTCAGAGCGACAGACCGAACCGGCGTGGAGGGGTCGTACGTGTTCGTGAAGTTCTACGAGGAGGCTGGAGAGTGTCCCATGACAACCTGCATCCAGCTGACACCCGGGCGGAGGCCAGACACGCATGGGATTATTGAAGTGGCGTCGATCCGACGGGTTGTGCACGTGTGCAAGTCGTTTACCAACTCTAGGGTGGTGCTGCTGAATAAGCTTGCACTCATTTGAGGCCTTTAGGACATGTTGGGCGGCCCATGGTATAGATACGTGTGATGAACATGGCATGTATCCTGAACCGCAAAGGGTATCACGAACGTACTCTGATTGGGCTTAGGTGGAAATGACATTAATCGGAGCAATGTACAAATGTTTACATGTTTGGTAACACATTGAGACGGAAAGTGACATTTCAGTAGCTTATGAGTGATCGGGTGGATGTCACTTCAACGTAACTTTTCCGAGCAGAGCTTTGCCGCAGCTCGAGGTAGGTTTGCCGCAACTTTTCCGCAACAAAAGCTACCGTGTACACTTTTCGGGCCTCAAACTTTTTCGCGATGGGGGGCAGGACGAGGAGAGGCACAATGAGGGGGCAGGACGAGGAGAGGCACAATGAGGGGGCAGGACGAGGAGAGGCACAATGAGGGGGCAGGACGAGGAGAGGCACAATGAGGGGGCAGGACGAGGAGAGGCACAATGAGGGGGCAGGACGAGGAGAGGCACAATGAGGGGGCAGGACGAGGAGAGGCACAATGAGGGGGCAGGACGAGGAGAGGCACAATGAGGGGGCAGGACGAGGAGAGGCACAATGAGGGGGCAGGACGAGGAGAGGCACAATGAGGGGGCAGGACGAGGAGAGGCACAATGAGGGGGCAGGACGAGGAGAGGCACAATGAGGGGGCAGGACGAGGAGAGGCACAATGAGGGGGCAGGACGAGGAGAGGCACAATGAGGGGGCAGGACGAGGAGAGGCACAATGAGGGGGCAGGACGAGGAGAGGCACAATGAGGGGGCAGGACGAGGAGAGGCACAATGAGGGGGCAGGACGAGGAGAGGCACAATGAGGGGGCAGGACGAGGAGAGGCACAATGAGGGGGCAGGACGAGGAGAGGCACAATGAGGGGGCAGGACGAGGAGAGGCACAATGAGGGGGCAGGACGAGGAGAGGCACAATGAGGGGGCAGGACGAGGAGAGGCGCGACAAGGGGGGACGCGTTGAGGGGAGGTGCGACAATGGGAGGCACAATAGGAGGCGCGAAGAGGGGAGGGACGACTGGAGGCGCGGCGAGGTGCGAGAGCAGGCATGGAGGCGGGTCTACACTCACCCTTGCGCCGACACTCACGAGTGTGTGTATACTACGCTTCGGGAATTTCCTCTCCTTAGAAATTCGAAATGATAAGCTTCTCAATTCTGATTCAATACGTAGATTACTACGAAAGGTTAGCGAGGTTGGCCTTCCACGCTAGTGTGACTCTCCACGTCCCTGCACAAAAATGCACTTGCCAACCCTCTTTGCTCGTCGTTTAGGGCGTGTCCCATGAGTTCATTTGGGGAAAAAATCGTGATTGTTACGTAACTTTGACAAAGCAGCGTAGTGTACACCAAGACGGAAAAAAAACGCAGCACGTCAGCGCTGCGCCAAACGAAGTTGCACCATGCGGACTCAGCACTCCGCTCGCACAAAACTCGTATCCCGAATCAGATTCAACATGGTTCGCGAGCGGTAACCCGGGCCGGTTGCGAAACGACAGTGCCAAAATTGGCCGTACGCCTGTTCCTGGGCAAATTCTGAGATTGGGAGTTAGGGTTACGCGGACCTGTTCGACGTGAGGGTACGGACCTTCAAAGCCGTTTTTGAACGCTTTTAATACGAACCTTTTGACGCATTCAGCGCGTCAATGTCGCGCGTCATTGAAGACAAATGACTACAGTTGTCAAGTATTAAAGGTTACAAAAGCAGAAACAGTGTTACAAGGGTCCACATGAACTGTAAACGAACTCATGGGACACGCCCTTAGGTTCGCGCAAGCGAAATGGTTCCGGACAGAGTCGAAATGGCACTCCTGTTTGCAAACGCACACTCTGGCGAAGAAATTGGGGTTTGGCCGAAGGAGGAAGAACTGCTGATGCAGTTGGGTTGGAGCAGGTCTTGCGGCAGTTGTTGACTTGTGGTCGAATGGTCGAGCATGTAAGGCGGTTGATGCAACCACTTCCCGTCCCTACACGCCACTTTATTTATAAAATAAAGGGTAAAAGGTACATGAGTCTCCAGGTTAAAGTGCCAGCTACTTAAGAGAAGCTATGCAAAGGAAGCAGCAAGAGTAGTCCAACATCTACGACGTTCGGTAATCATTCCCCTGTACGCAAAGTCCGCTACCGATGGAGGGGTAACCTCCGAAAGGGTGGTGTTGGTACCTACTGAAAACCGAACCCGTGCTCGCCTACAGACTGTGCGGGCCTGCTCACGCTGGTGGACAAGGGAAATGCGCTTGTAGAAGCTGGTCTCGAATAGTTGCGGAATGAGAGTCGGATGAACCGCTCATGTCACAAAGGCGCGAAGCACCACGGCGACTGCACTGTCGAAGGAAATCCTGGAATGACAGAACACCTGAAAGTCTTAAGCGCCAGTGGAAGTAGCTTGACGTCAAGTCGGGCGCGCAGAGACGATGCGTACAGCGTGGTCTTCTCAGTTTCGCGTGTAGCAGCGGCTGAACCAATGACGGTGGCAGCATTAGAGTGGGGAAAGCCATGCTGCGGATCGGCTACTGAAATTTCCAAAGCCAAGATGGAGCCGCCTTGGATGTCTCTGCAGGTGATGTCGGGGCGGCGGCCTCGAAGGAGGTGGTGGTCTTCCAACTGTGCCCCAAGGCCGAGCTCCAGGGTGATGCGGTGCAATTCGTAGTTGATGGCATCGTGCACCTTGGTCGGCCCGTTATTCTTGGGGCAGCGAAGGGCGTGGGATGGAAGAGAGGGGTCAGAAAAGGAATGGCCACACGCACAAAATACGGCAGGGCTGAGATGAGGAATGGGGAGGCCGAGACGGATGGCAGCCGCGATGCGCCATTTGGTCTCAGTGAGCTGCAGCTGAGGCGAAGAAGGAGCCGCGGTAAGCCAATCCCCCGCATGCGGGACCTGCAGGGAGGTTTGCGGAGATAAGTAGTGCAACGGGAGCTAGACTACAGGCTAGGCACGGGGCAAGAGTGATCGTAGCGTTAGTTCGTTCCTTAGTCGTTTCCAAGTGCTAACACTGCTTGCTAGTTCATGGGGAAAATTGGCAAGAGTTCCACTAGGAAAACATGACAACAAAAGTTCAGAATGATTGAATCAACATTGGCAATACAGACTACATCAGACCTAGCAAGGCTGCTGGTCGACTGCCAGCGCAGCACGGTCGACCGCGTGCCAGCACGCCTTGGTCGACCGCGCTCCAGCAGAGCAGAGTCGCGGCTTGCCAACGTTGCCAGTCCGCGGTGTGCCAACGCTGTAGTAAGTCGGCTGCACAGCGTTGCATCCGCGGGACACCGGTGCACCTGCTTTGCAGGTGCGTGCAGCTAGTTGGCGCCCAACTCCCCGTCACATGCCCAGCGCAGACACTCCACCCGTGACGGCGCCCACCAGCCACGTCGACCTCGGGATACCACCCCCGAGGTCGTCCTCGCAGAGAACACCCCCGGCGACTTTCGCCCACGTCGCCCGAGTATCCTGGTCGACCGGGTATCCCGCGGCCCCCGTGGCCCCCGGTCGTCCATCCGCGGCCACCGCGGTCCCCGCGGTCCCGTGGTTGCCCCACGGCCTCCCGCGGCCCCGTGGTCTCCCGCGGCCTCCCGCGACCTTCCCGCGGCCCCACAGTTCTCCCGCGGTCCCGCGGTCCCGCGGCCCTTCCACGGTCCCGCGGTTCTCCCACAGTCCCGCGGTTCTCCCGCGGTTCTTCCGCGGCCCCGCGGTTCTCCCGCGGTCCCGCGGTCCCGCGGCCCTCCCGCGGTCCCGTGTCTCCCGCGGTTCTCCCGCGGCCTTCCCGCGGCCCCGCGGTTCTCCCGCGGTCCCGCGGCCCTTCCGCGGTCCCGCGGTTCTCCCACAGTCCCGCGGTTCTCCCGCGGTTCTTCCGCAGCCCCGCGGTTCTCCCGCGGCCCTCCCGCGGTCCCGCGGTCCCGCGGCCCTCCCGCGGTCCCGCGTCTCCCGCGGTTCTCCCGCGGTCCCGCGGTTCTCCCGCGGTCCCGCGGTTCTCCCGCGGTTCCGCGGTTCTCCCGTAGTCCCGCGGCCCTCCCGCGGTCCCGCGTCTCCCGCGGTTTCGCGGTCGGCTCCGCCCAAGCGAGGACGGGGCCAAACACTACTCCCGTTGACACTCCCCTGCCGCGTTCACGCTTGGGCCCCCCCAGCCCACACAGCAGCACAACTCGGAGAATAGCCCGTCGGCGTGCACACAATGCACAGCACGCCGGTCACCGCACCAGCCATACAAGAGGGCATGGCACCTACTGCTGCACGTCATTGTCACCGTCGCCCACATCGGCCAGGCGCACTTGGCCGATTGCAACGGAGCACCGGTTGAAGGCCGGGTAGTGCAGCGCCTTCGTCAGGAAGTCGGCCGGCTGCTCGGCGGTCGGGATGTACTGCAGCGAAAATTTCCCGCGCTTCACCATGTGCTGCAGCCAGGCCTGTCGCCGCTCCATGTGCTTGAGGTTGCCCGTCAACCCCATGCCCTCAGCGACCGTGATGGCCGACTTGTTGTCCACCCTGAGGACAGTCGGCTTCCCAGCGTCCAGCTGCTGGAACTCCGCGAGGAGGAAGCGAAGGCGACGTCCCTCCTTGCCGGCTTCAACGGCCGCCACGTACTCCGACTCGGTCGATGACAGCGTCGCGCACTTGATGCGCTGGTTCGACCAGGAGACCGCGGCCCCTCCGTAGACGAACACGTAGCCGCCCGTGCTCATCCGGTTCTGCTTGTCGCCGGCGTCGTCGGCGTCCACGTAGCCAGCCAACTCCAGTGACTCCGGACCACCGCCGAACTCCAGGGCGGTGTCTCGCGTGTTGGCGAGGTAGGTGAGGCAGCGGTCGACTTCGCGCCAGTGCTGATCGCTCCTCACCGTAAGGCCGCTCCCCAGCTTGCTGCACGCGAATGCGATGTCCGGCCTCGTCGTCGTCGCCGCGAACTGCAGCAAGCCAACCTTCTGCCGGTACTCCTCCTCCTCGTGCTCCTGCGCTTCCTCGTCGCCGAATGTCTGCTCCGCGTAGGCGGCGACGGAGACCGGCATCTTCGGAGTGCGCCCGGTCTGCTCCTCGTCGATGAAGCGCCTGCGCAGCTTGTCGGCGTAGCCCTGCTGGTGCAGCCACAGTTTTCGCGCCGGCCTGTCGCGCATGATCTCTAGGCCGAGATATTTCTGCACCGGCGAAATTTCGCGCAGCTCGAAAGCGGCCTCCAGCAGCTCCTTCAACATCGCGATGCTGCTGCTCGCGGCGAGAAGGTCGTCGACGTAGACCAGCACCCAGCAGGTCACCTTGTCGTCTCCGGCCTTGAAGTACAAAGCCTCGTCGATTTGGCTCTTCTTCCACCCGGCGCCAACCAACACGTCGTTGAGAGCCATGTACCACAGCAGCGGCGACTGCTTCAGCCCATAGAGGCTCTTCTGCAGCTTGCACACCCGGCCGGTCCCGTCGTTGAAGTAGTCCGGCTGGTACATGTACAGCACGCGGTCGAGCTTGCTCTGCAAAAAGGCGTTTTTCATGTCCAGCTGCATTAGGTTGAGGTCGAGGACGGCGACGATGCTGAGGAAAATCCTCAGCGTGATATAGCTGCTCACCGGCGCGTACGTCTCGTCGTAGTCAGCGCCATACACATGCGTGAAGCCTTTCACGACCAGCCTCGCTTTTCGCGCTGGACAGTGTCGTCGATGCGGTACTTCGTTGTCAGCACCCACCGGTTCTTCATTATGTTCACCCCCGGCGGGCGTTCGACCAGCTCCCAAGTGCCCATGTTGATGAGGCTACGAATCTCTTCCTCCATGGCGGCCTTTACCGCCGGGCCCTTCCAGCTCACCAACGCCTCCTTCACCGTCATGGTCGAAATGTCCCAACGGTGCTCGGGATCGGCGTGCATGTCGGGGTCGAGCTCCGAAAACTCCTCATCGTACTCGGCGTCATCGTACGCCAGGTCGTCGTTGCCACATCGTAGACCGTGGTGAAGGCAGCGGGGACGAAGAAGTCGGGTGGCCTCCGAATTCGGCCCGACTTCCGAGGTCCGGGCTGCACCTCCACCACGTCGCTCGACGTGCCTTCATCGAACTGCTCCCCTGTCGTCCGCTCCTCTGAAACGCGCTTCCCGTTCGAAAGCTCCCCTGCCAACTACCACGGACAAAGTGTTACGATAAGAATGAATTGATAGAAAATGTGAAGTACAACCCTAGATATAGCAAACCCTAATCATGCAAGTAGAAACGTAACACCTAGACTAACCTAAACAACACATATAAAATATATGTTGACACACCCCCATAGTCTAGGTGACGGAAGTCCTGTAGAAACAACAAGAGCAAGCAACGGTCACAAGACCAGTCTACAAGAACAAGACAAATCTCAGGGTGGAGCTCAAAGTCACCACACACTCCGAGAGCAAGCAAGAGGCCACAAGGCCAGTCCACATGCAGGTATATAGCAAATATAAAGAGATGCAAGAGTACAAGACATGCAGAACAAGGCATCTCTAAGCAAGCAAGTGAGGACGGACAGGCACAAGGCCAAGCTGGGTGCAGAAACGCTGGTGGTCACAAGGCGGCAACGCCTTGGTGAAGATATCTGCCGTGTTTGCCTCAGAGACCACACGTCGAACGAGTGCCTGTCCACGCTGCTGCAACTCACGCAGAAGGAAGTAACGAAGCTGGATGTGCTTCGCCTTCCCAACCAGTCGGGGCTCCTCACACAACAGGACAGCAGACCTGTTGTCGGCGAACAAGACTGGGGGAGAGCGAGGCCGCTCACCAAGGTCGGTGAGAAGAAAGACAGCCAGCGAAGCTCCTGAGCGGCCATGGCCGCAGCGTACACCTCTGCCTCACAGCTGGAACCGGCGACAGACGACGCCCGAGTCGACCGCCACGAAACAGCACCTGCCCCGAGGCTAAAGGAGTACCCCTGTGTAGACCGACGCGTCTCCGCGTCGTCGGCCCACGACGAGTCCGAGTAACCTGTGAGTGTAAC